CTAAACTTGTCTTTTTGCTATCATCGAAGGAAATTCAGTTCCTTCGAAACAGATCTTATTGAATAGCAGGCTGAGGCTAGTTTCTTACTCAAAAAATCGATATGAAGGAACCATTTAAGGTTGCTGTCTATAAAAATACCAAGAAATTTTACGGAATCAACGATACCGATCTGGCTGTTATTAAGAAGCAAGGGTTGAAGAACTATTTTATAGGATAATGCAACTGTCTTATCCACGTTAAAAGAGAGTAGATTCGGACCAGGTTTATATTTTAAGTAGATCAGAAGTTATAATTGCATGAAGATTCGCAATATTAGAGTTCTTCCAGGTAATACTGGCATCATCAGCAAAAAGAAAAATGTTTCCATCGATTTTTAAGTTGGTGATGTCATTTATACAGATAAGACAAAGTAGAGGGCCGAGTACTGATGCTTGTGGTACTCCACATACAATGCTTTTGTGACTAGAGTTAGTACCATTTTCTCTAACTAGTTATTTCCTATACCTCAAGTAAGATTGGAACTATCAAAGAAATACCTCGACTTCCATAGAAAAATAGTATTTTTATCAAAATGTCGTGATTTACACAATGAAATGCATTGGCATAGTCACAAAAGACAGTGGCAGTATAAAGATTATTGTTTAGTGCTTGATAAACCTCATATAGTATAGAAAACAGAATCGCTGGTACATTTACTAGATAAAAAGCCGAACTGACTTTGTGATAAAATGTTGTTTTCAACGATAAAGTACTGCTTTTATAAGTCTTTCAATAATTTTGGATAAGACCGGTAGTAAGGCAATATAGCTGTAGACATTAGATTTATCGCCACCCATATGAAGAGGAATAATAATGGCTGTCTTTAGGCACTCTGGAAATATACCTTGTTCACAGGAATCGTTAATTAGTGAGACCAGGACGTCCAACACATTTTTTGGGAGATTTAAGAAAATTTTGATGGATAGTCGGGACTACAGATACTTACTTAAGAAAGGAGATAAAAAGGATCTAAAGAATTACAGACCCATAACTTTACTAAATGTGATGTACAAATTATTAACCAAAATATTAACAAATAGATTAACAACTAACTTAGATGGATACCAGGCAAGAGAACAAGCCGGATTTAGAAAGAGCTTCAGTACAAGTGACCACCTTTTAACGATGAAGATTTTAATCGAAAAACTAACGAATATCATATCCCGTTATACATGGCATTTATTGACTTCGAGAAGGCATTTGATAGTGTGGAACACTGGGCAGTACAGAATTACCTACAAAACAACAGAATAGACTACCGATATACCGACTTAATTACAAATATATACAACAAGGCAACAACAACTATTAAGCTAATGAAACAAACGGAGCCTATTAAAATAAACCGAGGAGTAAGACAAGGAGATACCATCTCGCCCAAGCTTTTCAACCAAGCGCTAGAAGATGTTTTCAAACGACTACACTGGGATGGCTTGGGAATTAACATAAACGGGCAAAATCTGAATCATTTACGATATGCTGATGATATTGTATTAATAACAGAAAAAAGTGAAGAATTACAAAGAATGATGGAAGAACTAGATAGAGAATCGACAAAAATTGGACTCAAGATGAATTACAGTAAAACAAAAACCATGACTAATCAACCAGAAGAACTAATAATTACAGTGGCACAAACAAGAATAGAACAAGTAAAAGAGTATATATATCTAGGCCAAATCACTAAATTAAATAAAGAAAATCAGACCTAAAAAATAAAGAGAAGAATAAGATTGGCCTGGGCATCATTCGGAAAACTGTCTTATATTCCAAATAATTCAAAATACCCCCAATACCTAAAAACGAGAGTCTTCAATCAATGTATACTCCCTCTCCTCACATATGGCTCTCAGACATGAACGTTTACAAAGGAAAATATGGAAAAAATAGCAAAGACAGAAAGATCTATGGAAAGACAAATGCTGAACATTAAACTATCAGACAGAAAAATAAACGAATGGATCCGTAATAAAACAAAAGTGAAAGATATCTCAACCCAAGTAGCAAAGCTTAAATGGAAGTTCGCCGGACACACCCTAAGGCAAAAAGATGAAAGATGGACTAAGACAATTATACATTGGAGACCATGGAAACACAAACAAAAAAGGGGAAGGCCACAAATGCGATGGTCAGATGACCTGAAGAAACACGCCGGGTCAAAATGGATGCAAATTGTCCAAGATAGAGAGACATGGAAGAAGGAGGAGGCCTATATCCAAGGATGGATGTTTAGGGCTGTATAGATAGATAGAGAGATGTTGCCAATAGCTCAATTCCGGCTTTACGATTGGTCAAATTGCAACCTAATTGCAGCCAGTTGTATTGCCCGAAATTGAGCATTGGCTGTCGTGCAAGCTCCAATGGCAGAGTGATATGGAGCACTAGACCTACTTAATTTCATATAAGTATAGGTGCACGACGGCCAAAAGTTCATTCCGGTCTGGACAGGGCTCCGCAGAGACAGCCTTCAGAGACCTTCTGGTTGATATAGTTCCCAGAAACTCTGCTTTTTATTGCACCTAACCGCTATCCTTTTATTTCAGGATTTTTCTAAGTTCTCTAGCGAGACTCTTTATTTATACGTCCATGGGCGAGACAGTCTAATTTATATTTAAATTGTATTTATTTCATCATTTTCGACTTATTTCAGTATATTTCTCGTGAAATATTTATTTTCGAGATAATGCTATTTTTGACTTCGGTAGTAAAATTTCATATTTTTCGTATTTGTTTTAAAAAGGTATTTCTCTCTAGCTTGTGAGCGTATATGGCCTATATGTCCACGGACCGTGACCCTTACCTGCTCCGGTTCATTTCAGCTATGGATAGTGCGATTGGGCCTCCTTCCCTCATTTCCTAGCGTTCAGGCCAGCGATAGATACTACTAATTGGATCTGTTCAGATTTATCAACTGGTCTTATAAAGAATGAATTCGAGACCCTTTTGGAATTGGGAAGATAGGAAATAGGATCTTGTTGTGGCCAAATAGCTGATGTTATATTTTTAATCACATTAACGAAGTATTCATTTAGATTTTCAGGGTTTGGAAGATAAAATGTTTAAGCTGTGTTAATTTTATTTCGAAGATCGTTTCTTATGGACCAAGTTTCTCTTTCAACACTTTTAGAGCTTCCCAGATGATTCTCATATGTTTCTCATAGACGATTCTCATTAATTACTATTTAACTGGAAATAAGCCACAATTAAAAATAAAAATACGTTTATTGACGTTTCAATTTCCACTTCGAAAATCGTTCTCAAAATACAAACAGTAAATTAAACAAATTATAATAATAAAATAAAATAATAAAATTATATTGCCAATATTGTTGCATTGCGCTCCTGGGACGACTTTACTTATAAGATAGTTTATTCGATTACATGAAATCAACTTTAACTTGAGAATATCCGTCAGAAAAAAATCATAGCATGTAATTCGTCGTTAAAAAGACAAACACATGACATGATGACAGTAAAATTCTCCTGTTAGTGATTCCATAGTAAATTATGAGGGAAACCCCAGGAAACAAACCTCATAATACTATCCCGACATGGTAAGTATTTGTTCGTGCATTTAGTTTACCTTCAATAAACACCAAAATTCTCATTTTATATGTTTCGTTATTTAAAAAAAATAAATAAAATAAAAAAAAAACATTAATGATGTATCCTCTATATGTTACTGACTTACTAATATTGGTATTTTTCTTATTAATAACTTCCTCTTTCAATATTGGTAACCAGATCCTACTACATTTTGCCGAGGAAATTGTGACACAATTGGCCTCATTTAACATAATTAGAGCCGCTTCTTTGATTTTTCTTTTTTTACCATCCGTTTCTTTTAGGACTACATTTGAATTATTTCATTGAACCCTATGTTGATTATCCCATGCGTGTTTACATATTGGAGATCTAGCAAACTCTCTATTGTTAATATAAGATTGATGTTCACTTATTCTAACATTTAATGGCCTTGATGTTTCACCTAAATAAAACTGATCGCATTCACAAGGTATTTTATAAATGCAATTCTTTGTCCTTTCTTGTTCATTGTTAGGTTTGGTTTTGGACAAAATAGATCTCAACGTGTTTGTTGTTTTGAATGTTGTTGAAATGTTGAATTTATTTCCTATCCTTTTAAATTTTTCTGATAATAAACGTATTTTTATCTTTAATTGTGGCTTATTCCCAGTTAAATAGTAATTAATTTAAAATGCCACAAGAAAATAGCTTCAGAACAGTATTAAGAAAGACGATTCTCATGTTGAAGTTTTGATTGTTTATTTAAAAATAGTTCTATTAAAAATTGATGAATCCCTAAAGTAGAGTCTTTTTGTAATATCTTATACTCCACATTTTAACTGCCAAACCCGTCTATACATTTTTGACGAAAAAAGTTTATTTTTTCCTAACTTGATTGACCTCTTAATATAAATATAGTTCAAACGTTGTGAGTTGCAAAAAAATGTTTTTTTAACTACATATTTTATATACGTATGTCATTTTAAAATACAAGGACTGCTTGAACCTTGAAAACCAGTCTTTAAACAATCTCCTTCGATAAAAAATAAATAAAAACGCAACTGCAGTGAATAAATTTTTATTTACAAATAAATCTGCACACAAAAAAATATTATAGGTACAATCCTTGTCCAATTAGTAATGTATCGTATTAATTATTATTATATCATATTATTATCTCCATATCATTGTAAGAAATCAAAAGATCTATTTTTACAACAGTATCAACAATACAAACAAAAGTAGGGATTTAAAACAAACTATCTTCCAAGTATATATGAATTATTTATAGTCGACCAGCAGTATTTAAATAAACGGTACGTACAAGGTCGTTTAAAAAGTGCTTGGTATACCATAAAGGACCGGTATATTTTTCAACTCTGGGAAATCTGTAATAAATAATTACATATAAAGTAGACTGGAGGCGCAGAAAAACAGTCGATCCTGTCTTATAGCGCGTGTATTTGGCGGTCAAGTGCGCGATTTGTTTAAAAATGCCCGTAACTGAAAGCATCGGCAGACGTCAGGATATCCCTATTTTGTATACAAGAGGAACTCATTATGAAGTAGGATTTAATACTGTAAGTAGCTATATTGCTATATAATAATACATCAGCTCGACATGTGCTAGCTTTTCCCAATATTTACTTTTAGAAATTTCAACCCTGCAAAATCTTGAAGTCATTTTTTTTGTTATTATACCAACAAACTGAGGGTACTTTTTAATACGATCTGATCAAGAAGATCAATGAACAGTTCTCTTATAACCTAAATTGTTACAGTTGTCATTTCAAGAAAAGTAGTTTCATTTAGTATTATTTCTACAGGCGCAGGCACTAACTTATAGTAGAGTCTGAGGAGGGTTGAGCCACTTTTTTCAGCGACCTAATTTTCTGCCTTCCTTTAGTAATTTCATAAAGTTTTTTACATAGTGCTTAACTATGGGTTTTAGTTTTTTATCGCAGTAGTATGATTATTTTAAAAATTGTTATTTAAGCAAAAAATAAATATTTAAGTACAACATGCACTTGTCTCAAGCCTCCCTCATGAAGGGAGGTTTGAGGGAGGGAGGTTTGAGGCAAAGATAGGGAGGATTTAGACAAGAGTAGTAGGTAACGATAAAGTCAAGAGTTAAAATGGAAGGCTCCTTTGTGTTCTAGTTGTTCCTTCAGGAAAGGAGGGATTTGGTAACTTAAGATCGTTCCTCGGTGCACAACATTCATCTGCAACATCGGGAAAAATAAATTTGTATCCCGGAGTTTTTATTCTCATGAACAATGTAGCATTTGCAATTTCATTGATTCTTTGGTATATATTGAAATCCCTTCGTATATGTATTAATTTGAAATCCCCTCATATGTAACTTAACTCATATAATATTTGTCATGTAATTGAAGACTACAATAGAGTAACTGCCACATCTAAAGCTTGTGTAGATAACATACTAACAAATATGCAATCATATGTGTCAGTAGAAGTCTTGCACGCTGGAATCTCTGGTCATTCTGCCCAAAAATTAACTTTTCAGGTAGAGGAAGCAGAAACGAATACTCTTAAAAGACATTTTAGTACAAATAATATTGAAACTTTTATAAGTAAATTACATAATCTTGACTAGCTTAATTTAAGTTAGAAATGTGTAAATGATCAATGGAATACTTTCCTAAATCAGTTTCTATATATATTCAATCAGTGCTTTCCTTTTAAAAAGTTAGATTCTAGGCAACGTAAAAAAGGCCTTAATAAAAGAGATGATCCAGAAATAATAGAATGTAAGACTCGTTTAGACATCTTGTTTACAATGAGCAGAGTTAACCATAAATTCTATGATTCCTATAGACAGGTAAAAAAAGAATATAATAAGAAACTAATATCAAAACGATCAAAGCTATATGAAAACAGGATGTCTGAAGCTGCCAACAAAAATAGATGCATGTGGCAAATTGTTAGTGAAATTAATGGTCAATTAAAAAGTGTAAATTCAAGTAGAGGGTAGTCCTCAAGAGATTGCTGATAAATACATGATCCACTTAAATACTTCTTTAAATAACACTTTATCTCAATTACAATACACTGAATATAAAGACAACATTGCAAGTAACATAAGTTCAGTGTTTGTCGCACCTGTGACAGAAACTGAAATTATGGATATAACTAAAAATTTAAAAAACAAAATGAGTTGTGGAATTGATGAAATACCCACTAAAATCCTTAAACTTTGTATAAAGGAGATAGTGAATCCTCTCACTACAATCATAAATAATTCACTAAAATCTGGTGTATTTCCTGAATGCCTGAAAACTGCCATAGTAACACCTGTTTACAAAAAGGGTGATCCTAAATTAATTAATAACTATAGACCAATTAGCCTTCTATGTTCCTTTTCAAAAATCTTAGTAATGACTATGTATAGGCGGATAACAGAATTTTTAACAAAATGTCATATTATTAGTGCAAATCAGCATGGTTATCAACAGGGAAAATCAACTCAGACTGCGATTTTTCAATTTGTCTGGGATATTTTGAAATGTACTGAGATTGGTCATATGGCTTTGGGTCTCTTTTTGGACCTATCAAAGGCATATGACTGTTTAGTGCATGACATATTATTTGATAAATTGGAGAAATATATTGGAGGTATACGTGGACCAGCATTGAACTGGTTTAAGTCCTACTTGGCAAATAGGAGACATTTAGTAAAAATACATAAAAACACTGAAATAGGCATCTCATCTGAAAGCACTATTAATATTGGAGTACCACAAGGAAGTGTGATTGGTCCTTTACTGTTTGTGATCTATATCAATGATCTTCATGGTCTAGTGGCTAATACTACTTCCAGCATAACAAATTATGCAGATGATACATAATCAATATGATTTTAGTCAGTGGTAAAGACATGTCTGTTCTAAGCGTTAATGCTAGTTTAGAGTTCCAGAAAGCTAAAGATTGGTTTTCTATGAATAGGTTGGTTTTAAATCAAAATAAAACAGATCTTCTTTTGTTTAAGACAAATTATGCACATTCAGATATGCCAAACAGTATTATTGTAAATAATGACACTTTAAATATTAGCAGCAGTACCAAATTTTTTAGGATTATATATTGACAGTTTTTTATGTTGGGATAAACATGTTGACCAGTTATGTATGTCTTTGAGTAAAGTGATTTACAGCTTCTAGTTCTAAAAAAATAAATGAATAGTAACTCATTAAAAACAGTGCATCATGCTAATTTTGAAGCAAAAATTTAGACATGGTCTAATAAATTTTGGCCACAGTAGGGAGATAAATAATATATTTCTGGTTCAGAAAAAAATAATCAGAGTTATGTTTGACTTAAAAAGTAGTGAATCATGTAGAGGGCATTTTAGGAGTAATAGTATTTTAACAGTTTACGCTGTATTTATTCAAGAATGCTTACTGTTTCTATATAAAAATAAAATACTCTTTAGGAACTTTGAGCCCAATAGTATAGTAAATACCAGGTTATATAATTATAAAATTCCAATACACAGGTTAAGTATAACAGAAAAAAACGCTCTTTATTGCTGCATCAAATTGTTTAATAAACTGCCTGAACCTATTAAAAGGGAGGAAAGATTAAGTTTGTATAAACATCAAATATTTACATTACTGGTAGCTCTTGAGCCATCTTCTGTGGAGGACTATTTGTATATGTAACAATTAGGAATAAGTAAATAATATTTTCGTTTGTGACACTGTTTTTTTTAAATATTTTTATGTTCACGGAATGTATATTATTTTCTAAAAATAAAGATATTGTTATGTTATGTTATTACCATGACCAAAATATTTTTAGGACTAAATATTTCGTCTCGTCGCATTTCTGATTCTTAAAATTTTGGTTTCGAGAAACTGGTACGACAAATGACGTGTTTTCACGATGGAAAAAATGCGTGTTTACTTTTTTGATCTATTTACTTGCCCTTCAATATATTCTGAACACTTCACATGATAAAGTCAAATAAATCGCTTAATTACCTTGTTAATTATATTAATATTATGTACTAATATACTTTGACAAATTAATTAAACATTAGATGATTGCGTGAAGCACTCAATCTGAATTCTGGAATGTGCGTTACCTTCAGTTAACTACTGAGCCGGTTCTTTAAAAATTTAATGGTTATTGCTGTGTTTTATATTACGAACAAGGCTTCAAAAGAAAATAAAGCAACATTAATTAACACATTAATAGACGTTGATGTATTAACTAGTGGTTATAGGTGGGTAGCTTTTGTCGAAAGAGGTCGATTTCATACTCACACGCTGAAGCTTGGTTTAATCGATAGGTTATGATGCAAATATGGTATGTTTAAGAGTTTATCGAAAGTTTTCCACGATAACGTATTTATTTCTAACAATTTTTAAGCAAATTATAAAAAATTGCTTTTTAAAGCGAAGTTTCTATACTGGCACTGTATTAATTTTGAAGCGAAGCTTATATTATTGAAGCGTTGTATTACTTTTTCTATGCAGTAAAATGCTGAGGCGAGCGTCACGGAACTAGCACCACAAGATGGTGTCGTCACGGGCAACGGAACTAGCGCCACAAAACGGTGTCGTCCCAAGTAGCGTCATAAAATAGGGGTTCTTTACATCGATTTAGTACCGTCGATCATTCGTTTCTAGTCATCACATCCTAATTTGCCAATTGGTGCTGTGGACAGATTCGAATGTAGTTATAAGGATCGAATCATTTTGTAATGCCCCTTTGTCCGCTTTTTCTCGATCGACGATGGTAAATAGAATAAAATGTTAAAGTTGGGGAGTAAAAATTATGGTTTTATTGATAGCTACTAATAAGTACACTCTAGTTGTTGGTTAGGTGACTTTCTACAATAGACTGCGCAAATGAGCTCAAATCCCCAATTTATAATTTCACAAATAATGTATACCTCAGCACAGAGGTTAATGCTTCTATTATACTAATAACTTTGAACTATGAGCTTATAAATACAATTTAATCTAGGCCATTATTATTTGAAAATATATTATTCGACAATTTATTAAGTGCAGGTTTGCAGGTGGAGACTTTAATTATTAAAATATTACTCGATATAGTTTTACAATGGCTCAATTATACACGGTGAAACTATAAAAGGTTAAGAAGTTAAGAATAATGTGAGATTACAAATTAAGGAATTAATTTGTAATTGAACATATTGGCCACAAAAGAAACAGACGAACAATAGAAAATATCTAAACACATATAAAATATAAAATAATAATAATATAACAATAATCATAACACTAATTCACTGGGTTTTTGAATTACTATCTCAGCCGAGCAGTGCTACCTATAACTTGAATATTTAGAATTTATGATTCAGCTAAACTATCTAATTCAAATCTAAACTCATTAAGTGAAACTGATCTAGGAGGGGCTTTCTCTAAAGTTTTACTTAAATTTGGCTGTCCTACCGTATGTCTTCGAGGCGCTGGATGAGGTTCGATGCAAGAACCTTGATGCCTTCTTCTTCTTCATGTACCATGTCCTTTCAGAACGTTGGTTACCATCATAGCTATTTTAATTTTATTAACTGCCACCCTAAATA